CTTTGTAAAAACAAAAATGGGAATAAGGTAAGGAGGAGGAAAAAGGGTGGGTGTGTGTGAGGTAGGGTGGGAAGTAATACTATGTTCCTGGATTTTTATGAACTATGTGAAATTGGCACACTCTAAATAACATTTTAAAAAATGAATACTTCTATTTGTAGTCCTTTTTATTCTCATGATAAAACATTTTATGCACATAGAGATGTAGAGAATAGTGTATAATTTTGTACTAGCATTCAGACCACTCAAATACTCCAGATGGTCTAGTCCATTTCTGTTGTAAAGATTTCAATGGTTAAATTCTTGTACACCTTTTCTTAAAAGCTGTGTTTATTCAATATCTAGTCTCTGGACTTATGGTTGTACATTGGCATTTCTAAGAAGCCATGGTTGACCCCACCCAGAGTGTTTGCTCTGTTGGATCATCACAGTTGACCCACTGTATACCTGACCACAGGGCAGACACATAAGAAACCATGGACCAATCCTTTACCCTAAGAGGAGTAGGAATTAATAAATAAAAAATTAAAAATTAAAATTTTAAAATTAAATTTTTTTAAAAAGGAATTAATAAAATTATATGATCTTCAGGATTTTTTTTAAAGATTTATTTATTTGAAAGTCAAAGTTACAGAGATGGTGAAGCAGAGGGAGAGAGAGAGTGGAGAGAGAGAGAGGTCTATCATCTGCTGATTCACTTCTCAAATGGCTACAATGGCTAGAACTGAGCCATTCTGAATCCAGGAGCCAGAAGATTCTTTTCAGTCTCTCATGTGGGTGCAGGGGTCCAAGTACTTGGGCTATCTTCTGCCTTCCTAGGCACATAAATAGATAGCTGCATTGGAGGTGGAGTAACCAGGACTTGAACCAGAACCCATGTAGAATGCCAGAACTACAGGTGTTAGCTTTACCCCCACTACACCACAGCAGTGGCCTCAATGTTTAGTTTTTGTTAATCTTGAAAGCAGAGACACTCAGAGGTGCAAAATGATGTTCTGCCTAATGGTCTAATCCCTGAAGGCTTACAACAGCTGGATCAGGAAAGCTTAAACCCAGGAGTCTTGAACTCAATCTGGGCTCCCCATTTGAATGGTATGATCCAAATATTTAACCATCACCTGCTGCCTCCCAGTATGTGCATTATCAGGAAGCTAGAATCTGAAGTGAAGCTTGACTCAAATCCAGGTATTCAGACTGGGGTGTGGACATCCTAAACACTTTATTAAGCACTGTACAAAAGACTTTTCTCCAAATCAACCCATTTTCAATCTGAATTCATCGTATAATGCTCATTCACAATATTCCATCACTTCAATCTTGTGAGCAATTGTTTCTATTGAGTGGCCCCATGTGACCTGCTGTTCATCACCAGACATTTGTTGCTACAACAAACCTATAGAGCTCTTTCATTCATCTGGATTCATCAGCCTCTTAAAGTTCACTCATGTTAACAGGCTTACAAAAATATCAGAGACAATTTCTAGTGATATACAATGATCTCAGACTCCAAATCTCAGGACATTAGTTGACACCAATTTCTTGGCTGAATACAGTTCAAAGTGATACGGAGACCAGCTGGCTCACATTAGCCTACAGTGCTTTCTTCTGTGAACTTGCTTCCTCTTCTCACATTTCCTATGCACTCACTCTTTCTCTGGCATCACGTCCTACATAAGATACTCATACATGCTACTGTCTCAGCTTTGTTTTGCAGAAAAATAAAACTAAGATGGAAAGAAATTCAAGCAGGTCAAAACATCCCCTACTTTGATCAAGTCATACATAATAAAATGAAGACCATATGGAAATTCAGGCTCCTTCAGTATAAAGTAAAATAAGACTCCATGCCAGCAAATGTACAATTACCTGTTACAAGTGTCTATGCCATTATCAGTCAGCAAACTAAACTGTGTCTCACTCAATAGAATCCATAACACATGTAGGAATCAAACACCAAATCTAAAATTAGGAAAAATTAGTGGACTTCTGAATTTAACAGTCCTCTTCCTGTGCCTCGAGGTTATTTGTAAATAAAATATATGCCAATGAGGTTTAGAGGAAAGGAATTTATTGAGGCTTTAGTGATTAGAAACATTAGAAAAGCAATAATCACATTATTAATAAATAGAAATTAATTCAAAAAACAGTAATTTCATCTAGACTTAAGAAATGGCTTCTAAAGGCACACCACATTATTTATAGTCCAACAATGATGATTATAAGAAAATAATTGTCATGTATTAATACTTCTACATGGATCAAGGAGCTAATGATTAATATGTTGTTGACCCTACTAGCAAGTTTCTGTCAAGTTTCCCAGATCTGATCAGTCTTTGATTTCTACCACAAGATTGTGCTCATCTGTCTCATGGAACTTCAGGATTCAAGTAACAAGAGAATCTCATTACCTATTGCTACTGTCAAAAATAATAACTCACTTAATGACTTAAAAATGGAAATGTATACTATCAGTATTTGAAGGATGAAAATTAAATCATTTTCTGGCTCAAGCTGAAGTGCAAGGAGGTCTGTGCTTCCTCCAGTCTCTAGGAAATCTCTGCCACTTCCAGCTTCTGGTGGCACCTGTCACTGCTCACAGTTACATCACTTTCCTTTTTATCTACATGATGTCAATTTTCATTTTCATTGAGTATAAACCTCTATTTGCCTTTGGATTGTGAAAACAATTGTGATTATAGGCAGGACTATATGGAAAACCCAAGTTAACCCAATCACATATATAATATAATCACATATATAAATATATATACATATATAATCACATATATAAATTTTTTCGACATAATATTCCAAGGTTAAATGATAAAAACATAAACTTAGTTAAGAGCCTAGAAAAAGTCCTCAGCCAAGCACTGTTGTGGAAAATTAGTTAACATGGAAGCTGTCCCAAACAAAACAGCAGTCCAGCAAACCACTCAACATCACTGAAACTGCCTACAGCCACACTGTTCATTTTCTTTTAAGTCTCTGATTATACTGAGATTTAACTTGATGAACACTTGGATGACACTGAGGGGACTTGAACAGGGACAATGAGTTCTTCCCAATGGGTTGTAATGGAGCTGGAAGAGATGGCATACAGGATTGTCTTCCAAATAGGAAATAAAAGAGTTATTGCAGCTAGAAGATCATCACACCATTTGTAGCCCAGTAATCAAGGAATGGCCATGCAAACTGAGTAAATTCTCCATCCTGAGTATAAACCAAGGACTGAGCTGAATGTAAATCTGATTAAAATTCAGAAAGGACTGTGTAAAATTTGTGAAGAGATGAAAACACACATTTAATAAAACTGAGCATCACCTTTTGGGGGGATATGACTAAAAAAATAACAAAATCATTGTAAAGTTACATTAATACATGAGTGTACTACATTCATGTACATGCTTCTCTGTTGCAAAGGGTACCACCCAGATCAACTTCTTTCCAAGTTCTTTTCTCTGAGCAAGACAGAATTGAAGGAAGAAAAGTAGAAAAAGGGGGATCATGAATGAAATAATTTAAAATGGATTGGACACTCAAAAAAAAAAAACCACAAAAATTCAGATAAGGAGCATTACAGTTTATAGGATTTGAGGTTGCCCTTTATAGAATGAGGGTGATGTGTGGGACAACGTCTACTTGAATATTCAAATAGAACTTGGGTAGTTTAATTCAGATATGCACACAGATAAATTGAAAATTATCATATGAGTATACATGTGACCACAGTTTAATTGCCTGAGCTAGATACAACATTCCCCATCCAGGACTGGAGAACAATATTATGGCTGGGACATGTGTCAGATGATATGCCTGTGGTCACATCATGGTTTGTACTACAATGATGTGAGGAAAGAATCCTAGGCAGACAACAAAACTGCTATACAACAAGTGAACTTTGTAGTTTATGAAGATGGTATTCCAAATGACTATTTATGATAACTTAACTTATTTGTTAGCAAAATTTATAAATGAAAGCACAGTTCATTTAGTTGGCCCCACTTTAAAGGGAAATTAAAAATGCAGCTTGTATAACAAAAGAATTTCTGAATAATGGTTAACCAGTTTGCCACAATTCATCATGTGAATTGCCTAATAATTGCTGAGGTGTGGTTACACCAGAGTTTTTCCAGACACATTACATTTTCAGAGATTTCTCTGTAATCCTGCCAAGTTTTGCAAAATTTTGGATTATAGTAAAGGGTTTTCCAAATACATTACAGTCATAGGATTTTTCCTTTGGTGAGTTCTTAGTTAAACATTGGCAGATGACTTATGGTATTCCCATTTCTTTTTTTTTTAAGACCTTTTCTTTTTTATTTATTTTTTTTGACAGGAAGAGTGGACAGTGAGAGAGAGAGACAGAGAGAAAGGTCTTCCTTTGCCATTGGTTCACCCTTCAATGGCCACTGTGGCCGGTGCGCTGCGGCCGGGGCACCATGCTGATCTGATGGCAGGAGCCAGGTACTTTTCCTGGTCTCCCATGGGGTGCAGGGTCCAAGTACATGGACCATCCTCCACTGCACTCCCTGGCCACAGCAGAGAGCTGGCCTGGAAGAGGGGCAACCAGGAAAGAATCCAGCGCCCCAACCGGGACTAGAACTTGGTGTGCCGGTGCCACTAGGCAGAGGATTAGCCTAGTGAGCCATGGTGCTGGCCTGGTATTCTCATTTCTGATCTCTTCAAGAGAACTGAATACTTATTAATTGGAGAGGGATTTTTTAAACATTCAATACATTGATTTTCTTTTACCCCTTATGACTTCTCTGATGATTTCTGGTATCTGGTTTCCAGCTAATGGTTTTATCATATTTACTGCATCCAAAGGATATCACCTTTCATGCATTCTGTATCTATGTAAGTTTGAATTCCAGGAAAATATTTTTTCTGCATTCATTGCACTCCTAATAAAACCCTTGTGTGATTCTATGATATATAATGATTGATTTCTGATAATTTTTTTCACACTAATAATATTTACAAGCTTTCTCCCTTACGAGAGTACCTGTAGTAATGGTTATGATTTCCAGCAAAAGGATTCGTCACAATTGTTTCTTTGATTTGGGGAAAAAGCTTTTCCACATTCAGTATGTTCTTAAGGTTGTTCCCTTGTTTCAATATCATGTAGTGAGACATTATTTTACAACAAAAGGCTTTTACATTCATGAATTTCCTTGTGAATTCTCTGATGCTATAAAATGTGATTTTGGCAAGAAGCTTTCCAACTTTCATTGCATTCATGAGATTTCTTTCCCATGTGAATTCTCTGATGTCTTATGTGATGTGACTTCTGGAGAAAGGATTTTCTACATGCATTGCATTCAACAAGATTTTCTGCTATATGAATATGATTGCAGTAGCGTGTTGAATTTTGGTTAAATCTTTCTTAACTCATTACATTCATAAGATTTCTCCCTTGCGTGAATTCTTTTATGAAGTCTGACTTATGGTAACAGGCTTCTCTACAGTCATTGCATTCATAAAGTTTCTCCCCTGTGTGAATTCTCTGATGCATTATGAGTTGTCAATTATAGCCAAAGGCTCTTCCACAGTCATTGCATTAAAAAGACTTTAATCCTGTGTGAATTCTCTGGTCTGTTATATGTTGTGATTTATAGCAAAAGAATTTTGCACAGTCATCACATTTATGAGGCTTCTCCCTTGTGTAAATTCTGATGCTCAATGAGGTCTGACTTCTGGCCAAAGGCTTTTCCATAGTCAATACCTTCACAGAGTTTCTCCTCTGTGTGAATTCACTGGTTGTGCTTTGATTCATAACAAAAGGCTTTTCCACAGCCATTATATTCATGATGTTTCTACCCTGTGTGAATTATCTGATGAATTGAGATGTGACTAATCCTAAAGAACATTCATAAGGTTTCTACCCTGTGTGAATCCTATGACGTTTGATAACATCAACCTTTTGGACAAAGACTTTTCTACAAATATTAAATTTGTAAGATTTCTGTACTGTGTGACTTGTTGAAAATATTATGAGGCTGGACTTCTGGCCAAAGGCTTTTCACAGTCATTCATAAGGTCCCCTCCCCCCCACTTTGTGAATTTTCTGGTTTCATGAGGTCTGACTTTCAGCTAAAGGCTTTTCCACAGATATTACATACATTAGATTTCTCTTCTGTGTGAATTATCTGATGTTTGATGGGGCCTGACTTCTGGCAAATGGCTTTTCCACAGATATTCAGTGATTACATTGGGTGTCTCTCATGTGCGGATTTTTTGAGGTTTGATAAGGGCTAACTTATGGCCAAAGGCTTTTCCACAGTCATTACATTTATAAGGTTTCTCCCCTGTGTGAATTCATTGATGTATTATGAAGCTTGACTTCTGAACCAAGGTTTTTCTAGTCATTACACTCATAAGATTTCTCCCCTGTGTGAATTTGCTGTTGTTTGATTATGTCTGACTTTTGGCCAAAGGCTTTTCCAGTCATGGCATTCATAAGGTTTCTCTCCTTTGTGAGTTTTCTGATGAATGATGAGGCTTGATTTCTGGCCAAAGGCTTTTCCAGTCATTACACTCATAAGGTTTCTCCCCTGTGTGAATTCTCTGATGTATTATGAGGCTTGATTTCCAGCCAAAGGCTTTTCTGCAGTTATTGCATTCATATAGCTTCTCCCTGTGTGAATTCTCCCATGATTTATAAGGCTTGACTTCTGGCCAAAGGCTTTTCCACAGTCATTGCACTCATAAGGTTTCTCCCCTGTGTGTGTTCTCCGATGCTTGATGAGATCGGACTTCTGGCCAAAGGCTTTTCCACAATCATTATATTCAAAAGGTTTCTCCCCTGTGTGAGATCTCTGATGCATTATGAGGTTTGACTTCTGGTCAAAGGCTTTTTTTCCCAGTCATTACATTCATAAGGTCTCTCCCCTGTGTGAATTCTCTGATGTATTATGAAGCTTGACTTTCAGTGAAAGGCTTTTTTTCCCAGTCATTACATTCATAAGGTCTCTCCCCTGTGTGAATTCTCTGATGTATTATGAAGCTTGACTTCCAGTGAAAGGTTTTTCCACAGTCATTACATTCATAAGGTCTCTCTCCTGTGTGAATTTTCTGATGCATTATGAGGTTTGACTTCTGGTCAAAGGCTTTTCCACAATCATTGCATTCATAAGGTTCCACCCCTGTGTGAATTCTCTGATGCATTATGAGACTTGACTTCTGGCCAAAGGATTTTCCACAAACATTACATTCATAAGGCTTTTCCCCTGCGTGAATTCGCTGATGCTTAGCAAGGTCTGACTTGCACAAAAAGGCTTTTCCACAGTCATTACATACATAGCTTCCCTGTGTGAATTCTCTGATGCATTATGAGGCTTGACTTCTGTCCAAAGGCTTTTCCACAGTCATTACATTCAAAAGGTTTCTTCCCTGTGTGAGTTCTCTGATGCATTACAAGGTTTGCTTCCAGCTGAAGGCTTTTCCACAGTCATTGCAGGCATATGGTTTCTCCACTGTGTGAATTCTCTGATGTTTGGTGAGGTCTGACTTCTGGCCAAAGGCATTTCCACAGTCATTACCTTCATAAGATTTCTCCTCTGTGTGGATTTGCTGATGTTTGCCAAGGTCTGATTTGCACAAAAAGACTTTTCCACAGTCAATACATTTATGAGATTTCTCCTCTGTGTGAATTCTCTGGTGTGTTATGAGGTATGATTTCAGAAGAAAGGCTTTACCACAATCATTACATACATGAGGCTTCTTCTGTGTGTGAATTTTCTGATGTCTAATGAGATCTGACATCTGGTGAGTGGTTTCTCCACATTCATTACACACATGGGGGTTTTTCTGTATGTGAGTACTGTGATGGATGGTATGGAAGGACTTACAACTGGATGATTTTCCAAAAGATTTATATGCATAGGTTTTTTTTCTCTGTGTGGTCTCTGATTTATTGCAAGTTGTGATTGGTAAATGACAGGTTCCACATAACTAATATATTCATAAAATTTCTTTGTTGTGTGGGTTTGTTGATCTACACTGAGGTTAGACTTTTTATGGAAAGTTTTTACTATTTGAGCTATCTTTCCAAAAGTGACAGTATACTTCTGACAGGTTTCTCTTAAATGAACTCTGTCAGATTTATAGAATATCTTCTTTGTCAAGACTTTCCCTTGTCCAATATGTTCAAATGGCTGCTTCACAGTCTGAATCTTATAATGCTGACCAATAGGCTCACAGACCTGGAGTAAGGTCCCAGATACCTTACTGGCATCAAATTTCTCTCCAGCTTGTAGCTTATCAAGTCCACTGGGGGGATACACATTGGAACATACATTGCATTCCTCAAGTTTCATTCTTGAATAATTTCCCCCCCCTTTTTTTTTGACAGGCAGAGTGGACAGTGAGAGAGAGAGACAGAGAGAAAGGTCTTCCTTTGCCGTTGGTTCACCCTCCAATGGCCGCCGTGGCCAGCGCGCTTCGGCTGGCGCACCGAGCTCATCCGATGGCAGGAGCCAGGAGCCAGGTGCTTTTCCTGGTCTCCCATGGGGTGCAGGGCCCAAGCACCTGGGCCATCCTCCACTGCACTCCCTGGCCACAGCAGAGGGCTGGCCTGGAAGAGGGGCAACCGGGATAGAATCCGGCACCCCGACCAGGACTAGAACCCGGTGTGCCAGCGCCGCTAGGCAGAGGATTAGCGTAGTGAGCCGCGGCGCCGGCCAATAATTTCCCTTTTTGAGAATCAGTTTTGGAATATGTATTGAACTTACATTAAGTGTTTTTATTAATTCAATTCACTTGGGAGTGGTTGTCTTATTATTTTTCATAACATCCTGATTCAGATTTTTGTCCTGACTTTCCTGGTTGGTCTTAATCATGTCATCCTTTTTTGTGGCAACTGAAATGAGAAAAAAAACCATATCAATGAAACATAATTTTCTCCTGGCATATTCATGTAAGTGGAATGAAGCTATTTTTTATCCAAATAGCATAAGATTTTTAACAAAATTGTTACAAGATGTTTATATAAAAATATATAATTTTTCTCCTTAACATTAATATATTAAATTGTGCAAACAGATTTCCCCATGTCCAATCATGATTCTGCTTACTACCTGATTTTTTTTCAAGTATGGCAGAATTGCTTTTGTGGTAATATGTGTGTGAATTCACTGCTTAGGAGACCTGCATCCCAAAGTAGGGCCATTTTGATTCCTGGATACTCTGCTTCTAATACAGTTCATGTGCTTGAGACCCTGTAATACACCAGTGTAGACTAGGGAGTTCCAGGGCTCTGGCTTCATGATAGTCCATCCTAAGTCTTGTAAGCATTTGGCAAGTGAGCTAATAGATCTCTTTCTCTCCTTCCTCAAATGGTCATTCTGCATTTCACAAAGATGAAACAATTATATAAGATGTTAAAGAATGGACAAATATTAAGTAAAACTTCACCCATGCTTACAAACCAATTTTCCCTGTTCTTTTTCTCCAATTTATATTTATAAAAATATTTTCTCTGGTATTTCAACCATAAATATGGGAAAGTTTCACTGTATCATTTACTTGCAGGTGGAGAAGAATGAAATGTGTCTGCACTCTAAGCAGGACCACATTTAAGAAATGACACTTTAATCTATAGTTGTCTCTTGTTCTGTCTTCCTAGGAAAACAAAATTTGTGAAATTTTTCAAAATAAAAACTCTGCTTTTATCTGCACTCTATGACAGCTTCCCCATATTCCTATGGGAACCAGATGTCTTCAGCTTCTTATAACTACAATAGGTACAGAAAAGTCCCAATATACCACCTTGGGTATAAATTCCTTACTGGTTTATAGAATTTGTTTCTGCAACCCAGGGTGTGTCCACCTTCTTTGAAAAGTGTTTTGTAACTCATTCTGAAATCACCAGCACTGGCTATTTCCTCTTAATTCTTTCTATAAACACTCCTGTGTGATAATTTGAGTTTCTGGGGACTTTTGACCCTTTGTCTCCTATTTCCACAGATTTTCATTTCCTATGCCTTTTTATCATTTTGTTGTTTTTCAATGATGTTGAAAAAACAAGAATCCAAACTTCAAACTCTTTTTCTAAACAAATCTGAGCCATTCAAGATGAACCCTTGAGGTTACTTGACCTTGTTACTCAGAATTTCATGAAGAAT